GTCCTTGGCATAAATAATGATGTCATCAAGGTACACGAACGCTTTTAACCCATTCAGGCCTGAAAGTACCTTGTTCATCATTCTTTGAAATGTTCCGGGAGCACCCTTTAGACCAAACGGCATCCGCAAAAATTCGAAATGGCCTTTATCCGTAGAGAAGGCTGTCTTCTCGCGATCGTCCGGGTTCATTGGCACCTGATGATATCCTTGGGCCAAATCAAGTGTACTGTAGTATTTGGACTTACCTAACTGATCTAAGATGTCCGTGATATTGGGAAGTGGAAAAGCATCTCCCACTGTAACTTGATTGAGTCGTCGAAAGTCAACGCATACTCGATACTTTACTACTCCGTTAACATCCGGTTTCTTCGGAACCACCAAAAGAGGAGCATTCCATGGCGAGTCACTAGGAGCAATTACCCCTTCTCGCTCTAGAATCTCCATTTGTTCTGTTATTTCTTGCCGATGTCGCTGGGGTAGTCGGTATGGCTTTTCATGAATTGGGTGAACGGCTTCAGAAGTCTTGATTTCGTGAGTAATGGCGGTTGTTGCTGTGATTTTATCCCCTTCCAATTGAAACACATCAGAGTATTCCTCTCAAATAGTAAGCAATGAGGATTTTTCTTCTGAGTTTAAATGGCAGGTTCGCAGGGCTGAATGTAAGCGAGATATTCTGTTCCCATCAACACTAGGTTCTGTATTTTCCAAAATTTGTGATAAGTGCACATTAGCTTCGTTGAAATCTTCGTGTTCGAGATGCTCTAGTTGAGGGATTTGTAATTGAACTTGATTGACTGTTGGATTAATAAAAGGAACGTATATAAAATGATTTCTCACTGTGGTAACACAATTTCCACAGGTGAGGGCTTTGGTAATGCTTTGGCTTGAAATTAAAATGTTTGAACCCTCTGTTTTATTGGGAGCTGGAATGGCAACGAGAATTTCTGTTCTTGGTAGTATGGTTAAATTCACAAGAGGAGGGAGGATTAATTCCTTTGACTGGTAGTCGATTATAGTTCCATGTCCGATAATGAATGGTTTACCTAAGATTCCTTCATTTGGTACTGGGAAATCGGATTGAACAACTTGGAATTCAACGCGTCTTTTTTCACCTCCAATTTGAAGTTCGATAGTGACGGATCCTAAAGTCGTCACAAAATTATCTGTTATTCCTTTGAGTTCGTACACGGTATGGTCGTAAACTATTACTTCATCTCGCAATGATGAGAGTTTGATTAAATTTAAGTCACTGCCAGAGTCGATTAAAAATTTGCTGTCTGTTGGAATGGTCTGAGGGCTTTGACACTGTACATGATCCTGTTCAATTTTCTGGCGAGCCGTATTATTTAAGATATTCCTGCGAATGAGATTGCGGCTGTTTTCAGGCTTCCTGCCGGGCGCCCGCCGTCGGCACTCGACTGCGTAGAGTTTTTTGAATTTTGTGAGGTAGTAGCTGGAGATTCTGCGGATCGCTTTGAATTCACGTATTTTAGTTTTCTGCATTCCTCCTTGGTGTGACCTGGTTTCTTGCAGTAACGACAAGTAATTGTATTAACGATCGCCTTGTGGGCGTTTTGAGGTGTATGACCATTATTCGGCTTCACTTGGAGAGACCTGCAGTCTCTGGCCCAATGTCCCATTTTTCCGCAATGGAAACAAGGGGTACTCGGTTTCTTTGTAAGTGTTTTTCCATTGTTTTGTTTAGCAGACGGTTCATAGAAACGCTTTGACTCGTCGTGCGATTTTCTCACCCTTTCTTCTTCTCTTGCAGCTTGAATCGCTTTGTCAAGAGTTGGTGGATTTCGAGCCTTTATGAAGTCTTTCAGTTTTCCCAATCCTTCGATAAAGACTTGAATGGTCTGTGCTTTCAAACTGTCCTCCAATGCTGTGGCGACTTCTGCGGATTTTCCGTTTGTTTCCTGTTCTAATATGAGTGTCTGTAAGGCCTCAATACGCGATGAATATGTCATTACGTCCTCATCTCCTTTCTGTTTGATAGAATACAGTTCCAAATATAAATGTGGCGTAGTTCGCTGGGGTTCTAGTGACGTTTTTAGGGTATCCTTGAGTTCAGTCCAGGATTGAATCGAACGAAATTTTACTGCGGCCCGGGCCTTTCCCGTAAGCCGAATAATAATGCCTTGGAGCAGTCGCTGCTTAGCTTTCTCATTGGCACACATAATCGCGAACTCACATGTTTCTAGGAACAGCTCGAGATCTTCTTGATTTTCTCCACTGAATGTCGATGGTAATAACTTCAAGGCTGCTTCTAATCCAATGGTGTCTACGGATTTCCCAGATTGTGATAGGAGTTCTTGTGGGTTGTTCTGTGTTGAGGTGTTGATCACTGGATTTTCGTTCTGTCGGGAATTTCCTGTTTCGATGTTGTTTGGTTGTAGAAGGGACCCGTCATCGGCCATCGTGATGGTCTGATCTAAAATATTTGTATGCAAGGTATGGTTCGTATGAACAAGCACGTTATCTACGGAAGCTGAGGTTTGGTTAACGTTTTGCAACAACGTCTCGTTAAATTCTATGATTTCATTGGTCTGGTTGATAAAAAGATTATCCCCCGAAATTTCCGCAACAGGTCGTTCGGATTCTGGAACTTGTGGATTTGCAAACCTAACAGGAAGACTGAGACGTGGAGCAGGGAGAGGGTTCTCGGAGGTTTCCTCTCTATCTTCCAATTCAGGGGTAGGGGTCCTACTATTAGTATCTCCCGTATCACTCATCAACTAAGTGTTAAACAATAACGATTTATGCAAACTACTACTACTGTTGCTAACAGTTAAAATAAATTATTAAATGTTATCACTACTAGGTTTGATGACAGTAATAATAATAATAATAAAAAAAAATAAAAAAAAATGTTCAATAACTAATTTAAATTGTTAGTATGTTAGTAAATGTTCTGTTACTCACAACACCGCAAACTGTATTGATGCCGCCATGAGTGTTGTCATTGGAAATGTGCGTTGTTGAAAGGGTCTGGATGAGTCGGGTTGGCTCTGAGTGTTGCCAGTGAAAAGAATTATAAACGACGTAAATCCTCTTCGACAGCTCTTGTTGAATGGACGTTCCCTTGCCCCAAAACTGCTGGTGCGGGGACCACTACAGGTAGTGGGTTTCAATTCGGCTCCGTTATTGTTGATTGTTGTTGTAAACAATGTTATCAATAGTCTTATCAATTTTGATAACTCTTATCAATATTGATAACAATATCGATTGTGACTATCGATTTCGATTTTGACTATCGATTTCGATTTTGACTATCGATTTCGATTTTGACTATCGATTTCGATTTTGACTCGATTTCGATTTTGATGTCTTACCGTTGCTCGAACTGGTTCGACCGATGTCGGCTTCGGGCGGCGCACCAATGCCACGCCCAAGAATTTGTTGACGCCGATGGTAATAATAGTAATAATATTATTTACGTGATTTTCAGGAATTTTCTGTAGAATGTCTGAATGTTAAAGGTCTGAAATGTCTGAGTTGATCTGGAGTGTTTGAATTTTCTGCTGCTCATATTTGAGTACGTAGACGCAGTGCGTGATTTACTTAGCTATTTAAACACTTAAAACAAATTTTTACTTTAAGCGTAACACCGGAATCTACGGATCCCACCGCTGCCACCAAAAATGTTATGGATTTTACACACAACACAAAATAAACGTACGCACCAATTGAAAATTAAAATAATTAATGTATTTTTTATTAAAACTGGTAGTAAAAATTAAGTGTAGCTACAATCTGTTATTCGAACACTGGTAATTCTACGACTGACTGACTCCCTGTGTGTTGTCGTGACGGTGCCCCGTCTCACATCAAAAACCCTTATTCAGCGGTTCCCACGGTGGCAGCGTCTTACGACACACACTCTGCATTATGATTGTCTATATATGTTGTTAACATATATAGATATATAAAAAATAAAATATGTACTAATCAGGGGTTCTTAACAATGTTAACAATCGAAAATTTATATTAAAAGAAAAATTGCTTTTTTTAAAAGAAGAAATTGAAAAGATCATTACATTTTATCGATCTAGCTGTACCGACTATTGGTTATGTGTAAATAATTTTAATATGCAGTTAGAAAATCTTAATGATCAGCTACAACAGTTGAGTACAATCTGTTGAAATCAAAATTAGATTACCTATATTATATGTAGTATTGTATATATTATTATGTTATGTTTAAAAAATAGTTAGATGATAGTCACATGTAAATAAATAAACATTCTAAACTAAAAGTTTTTTTTGTTCACATTATTTTTCAATTTTTTTTTTAATTGTACTATTTATAATTAATATACCAACCATTCTAAAAAATGTTTTATTTATTAATTTTTTAAACTTAGCATAATAATCATAAGCTAATATTTATATATGATGTATAACCATAATTTATTTTAATTTGTTGATAGTATTTATGCTTATATTCCAATACATAAACTATTCTATTATTATTATTAGTATTATTTACTACTGTCAATATTTGCTATTTTATTTTTTTATTAAAAAAATGGAATCAAAATCATTTATTATGGATAAAATTAACGATGTTATTCGAGAGGCCGAGAATAATGACCGAGCAATGGATGAAAAAGCAGTAGAATTTAAAAAAAAAAAAAAATATTGATATAAAAATAAAAAAAGCTGTTTTAAAACCAAAAAAATTAATGAATGAAAAAAAGAAGATTATAAATGACTATTTACATTCGTTATATAATTCTAAGAAAAATGAAAAAAATATTCAAAAAGGATTATCCAAATTATATGCTCAATACAATTATATGAACAGTGGTTAATAGTTTATCAATCATTTGTTTATTAATCATTAATTTTTGACTCAAAACTGCTTTTTTATTTTTAAAGTCTTGTAAATATGTTCTGAATGTATTAATTTATTTGAATGATATTTGAAATAAAATGATCTACCTACATTATTATTATATATATTTTTTTTTATTTATTCTATTCACAGTTTCATCATGAAAAGACGAACGGTGAGAAAATGTCAGCGAACAATTTCTACTGATAAAGAGCTATTCGAAATTGAACGATTTAAAAAATGTTCGAAAACTTTTATCATCAGGAATACATTGGATTTTATAGATTACACGCTTTTTTTTAACCATATTTCAGAGAAATTAATTTTGAATTTAAAAGAATCGTGTGAAAATACATCTATAAAATTTAATTTAGTTGTAGATAGTGTTTACGAAAGAATTTTAATGCAAGAAGTACAGGATATTGCATTCAAAACTTCTAATGTTTTTGCGTGTAATTCATCAAATTTCAAAAAATTACTAAACAACATGTTCAATAAATTGTTACGAGAAGAGGCAGATTTTAAACAGAAAGGTTCTGGATGGTCACTCAAGGTGATAGAAACATTGCAGCTGAGAATCAATATAGTGAATCCTCTGAAAGGAGGAACATATATTGATTTACCTAGTATGTTAAAGATAAAAAAGCGATTATCAATGTGAAAAATAGTGATAATAAATGTTTTAAATATGCATTATTATCAAAGTTTGATAATCGCTCCAATAAAACTAATTTTAATGAAAAATATTTTAAGATGTTAGAGTTAAAAAGTGGTTTAAATTTTAAATGTGTTGATTTTCCAACACCGATCAGTAAGATACCCAAATTTGAACGTATAAAGAATATTTCAATAAACATTTATAGTTTGGATGATAAAAGAACATTTTTTCCCTTGTATGTATGTAGCCTATAATTTGATATACTCTGACCTCCTACAGCAATCACTGCATCTTCAATTTGTATCAAACATTTGTTGTGAGCCTCATCTTTTTGGTCAGCATTCATTTGTCGGATAATATCCTCTGAAAGATTGTTTTTATGTGTATCCCAAAGAGTTAAGGGATCCAATAATTGACAAAATACTAACATCACTGTAAATAGTTCGCGCATCTTGGAAGGAGAATCACTCAAAGAAGCTTCATTTAACGTATTGTTCCAGTGATTATCATCTTCAAGCAAACCTAACACATTACAGGCAGATTGGAATGTATTATGGAGGATACCATTAACAGTCTTTAGGTCTGAAAAAGATGTTGGTCCTCTAATTTCATGAAGAAGCATACGAAGATTGTAGCATTCAGTATTGTATGTATGGATAGTATACACTCTTCCTAATGCATCGTCCTTCTTTACGGACGATGCATTTATTTGCTATCTACCATCTACATTCCTTCCCTGCTTCCTTCTTTGAAACTTATTATTCTTAAATATAAAGTAAGAAGGCACTTCCGAATAAAGGAGGGTTTTTGCCAAAACGTCAGTTTTGCATAACTCAAAAAATGCTAAAAGCGTAGTCTTAGTAGGATAATTGAGCTTCTCTGCCAAGTTATTAGGGGTGAAGTATACTCGCTGACCATTCTCAAGGTGGACGGCTAGATGAAAAACCGTAGGATATCGTTCATGAATGGAAAATGATAATAATATTCTCCATACTGCTTCGGCACTGCTGATATACCTACCACTTTCGTACATTGTAATCTCATCCTTCTGGTTTTCTATCTTAAACGCTGCTTGGTCACTGCCCTTGTTTACATACTTACAGATGTACTTAATACACTTAATAGAATGACACATCTCTACATTGATGTGACAATTGAAAGTACGTAATAAGACTGGGTTGTAAGGCACAACCCAATGGTTTTCTAAATCAAGTCCCTGAATTCTTACAGTGAATCCACCGTCATTTTTAGACCTTCTCTTGTACTCTGGGTATCCATCGTCTCCTGTCTGTGTTTCTCGCAAAGTTTTCTAGGGTATCTTTTACTACATGTATTTTCTTTCATGCAAGGAGCATAAGGGTTTAAGCTGCCGCATGGACCATGAATCATGTTACTTTTGACGATGTCATATAAAAGAGGATCTTGCTTGGGGTCTGGTATTTCGGCACTGATGACATTATTAATTATGTTTGATGAAATTCGATTCTGTAGCCACAGTAAGATGTGAACGTGAGGCAATCCCCGCTTTTGCCACTCCACAAAATACATATAGCACCGTACGTCACCAAATAATTTTCCTTTAGTCGAGAGTACCATTAATTTCTTTACTTTAATATGAAATACTCTCGCTATAATGTCATGACGATCGTGCGGCTTTTGTCCAGAAAACAGTGCATCTATGATGTCTTTCCAAGTAGGGTTACATGTAAATGTGATGAATAGATCAGGGTGAACATGTACGCGGACATATGTCATGGCATCTTGAGTTCGTTCATGCATATACCTAGGTCCACCCGTAAATGATGAAGGAAGTACTACCATTTGACCTAGATCAGTTGCATTAACATCATTCCTCCCCACAGCATCTTTGAGATGAATATAGTTCTCAGCTCTTAGCTGTTTCTGATGATTCCTAATAAAATTCAACCTTTCAGTTTCAATTTTTGCGTATATATCGACCAAAAATTGACTGAAGAGGGAGCGGAAGTATACAATATGGTTAACTTCATCTTGCCTATTCAGCATAAAAGGATGCCGCAGAAACTTTTTTTTCAAGAGGCAATTTCGTAGTGGGATCACACAATGGTATGTCAATAGAGTATCCGTCCTCGCCATGGCAAAACATAAGTGGATACTGCAGAGCGTCGTATGCTTGATGAATTTTACTGATACGCTGTAGTTTATTATCGTGACTTTGAAGTAAGATGTCTCTATTTTCAAATTGCTGACTTCCAATTATCAGAGCTATTTCATTTTGTGTTGGTGCGTTAAAGCGACCAACATGTGCATTAGTGGGTTTTCTGTCTGCACGGATGACCACTTTAAATTCTTTACAGTTATTTTGCACCGCATTAATCGTGGTTTTAAATTGTTTGACATAACTGTTTTTTTCATGGAGCATGCTTTGCAACTGTTTGACCAACCCTGGTTTGACGTCAGGAAAATTGGCGCACCTTGAGCGTACTTCCCTCTCATCCTCACCTACAAAATATATTTGTCAAAATTGGGCATTCTGATCAGGTTTATGCATTAGACTCCCTACCAAATGATACACCTGGCCTTGAACTTTGTAAGTAGGCATAAATCCTTCTGTTACAATTTTTTTTAGCCACAAATGATGTCATTTGAAAACACCCATTGTATTTTCATATAAGGTCCATAAAATAATTATGATGGGGTGTCTGTTCATAAGCAGGCTGTTGAGAGGTTCCGGCAAATGTTCAAAAGATGGAAGCTGCACTTTGCCATTATTGCAGCACATTCCGGGGTTTTCTTCTTTCCATTTTAGAGCATTGCAGTATTTGCACTTGTGGTTCATAGAACCAAGAGCTATAGTTTTTTCTGGCTCATAAGCCAGGTCAGGATTGTACGTCATTCCTGAGTTGACCATTATTTTCCATGAAAGTGTCAGTCTTTCAACTTTCCGGCGAGGATTAGTATGCTCATATTGAGACCTTGCAGCTCTGCCTACCTCAGGGTTATCTAGCTGGTACCTGGCAACTGCAGATCTGTTCACTAAAGGATTACGAAGTGCATATGTCTTTGCTGCGTTTTGAAGTTGTTTTTTTCTTATATTGCCAGTGTATCTGACACGGCGTTTTCTACCCTTCTTCAGGTATAAAGAGAAAGGTGATTGCTGTAATGTGGAGTCTCTCTGAGGGATCAATATTTCTGACTCATTAGGCAGGTAGACATAAAAATGCCCCCTAGAGAGATTTTGTGTAAAACGCATCCTCAACACAGGGTAACCTTCAATACCAAAACACTCATAGAGCTGATAATTGCGGTAAAGTTCAAAAACGTAGTGGAACAATTGTCCAGCGGCCACCAATTCACATAAACCACCATAAGTATATAATTGATACATGTCAGCAAAATACTCAGCGGAACTCATATATTTGTCCCCATTGTTGCCATGAGACATGATAGAAAACTCCGTCCAATTTTTTGTTACGTGGCTCTCAATAAGCTTGCGTATTTCTCTGGCCATTTGCTCAGTTCCGTACATAAGATAGGAGAGCAAATTAAATAAACAGGCACCATCTAATGTTATAGGTACAACGATGTGAGATACCATTTCCTCATTCACGTTTAAAAACTCGATTGTCATATTAAAAATGTTTAATGAAAAAAGTTTTATAATTAAGTGATCAATTCAGTTAACGCCAATTTATATAAACTCACGTGGTTTTTATTTCGTGTATATTAATCAAAATTTACTTTTGAACGCAGTTTTATACAGATGCACGCGGTTACATAACAAATGTGCTAAAATAGCATAAATAACAAACCGAATTTTATGTGCTAAAAAGCCGACGTAGACCAAATGGTTTTCAAGGCGTTTGCAACAATTGCGCGTTTACAGGTCAATCGCTGTTGCAAATGATTAAGCAACAAAGTTGTAAGCTAATCACAGTCCACAACACTTTTTAAGATTTAAAAAAAAAATTTCGTTTTATAAACACAACAGTCCGCATGAAAATAACTAACCAAACTCCAATGTGTTAAGAGGCGTTAATAATCTGTGAAGCTCACGTCGATCAAACAGTTTTCAAAGCGTATTCGAATAAATACGTGTTTAATAGCCGCAATATACAATGGAAGTGAAATACGTCAGACGACAGCGGCGACAACGATGACAACGGTGGCTGATCGGTCAATGGTGCGGGGTGAGTAGGGCCGTCGGAGTTGTAGGCTGCACGTATTCACCATTCACCGTACCTATTGTGTGTTGCAATCACGGGTCGCCGATAACTTCGACTATAGGCTATATATAATTGATTGTTATTATTAAATTGTGAATTCCACGTACTATTAGCACTGTCAATACACTGAACAGCGATTAATAGTTGGAAAAAAATACATATATATATAAGATGTATACAAACATTAAAAAAACCCCCTTTTACCTCCTTAGAGTTCGAATTTTGAAAAATCCTTTCTTAATGCGCCCTTACATTGCTCTGTACAAAATTTCAAGTCTCTAGACCCAGCGGTTTGGCCTGGGCGTTGATGAGTGAATAAGGGCCGTCTCCTATATGTATATAGATATCAAATGATATTCTAATAAATTATATGAAGTGTGGTCCAACGTCGAATGATGTAAAACCGTAGGTGTTGGCATCAAATAAAATAACACACAGTTTGCTTATAAATAAGATTACCGATTTATTGTATTGAACACTAAAGAATTAATGTATATAATGATAAAACTAACACTGGTTTATTAAATTAAATATTGGAGAATTAATTTATATAATAAAAAAACACTGTTACTATGAGAGGTTCTGATAACAACTATATGAGGCTCTGTAATAAACTATAAAGGATGCTCTGCTTAGTAACACGGGTGTTACTCACTTTTTTGACCAGACTCGACTTCCTCTAGCTGGCGGGGCTGTGCCCAAGGCCTGTCCCGAGCCTTTCAGAATGTACTCACTCAGCCCTTTTGGTCACGTAGGTCGCCGTGGGAACCGGATGGTTCTTATACACGCACCACTTGACACTTGACTGAGTCAACACATTCGCACATATCATTAGTGTTTGAAAATTTCATGAAATTTAAAAAAATGAAATATTTCGTGAAATATTTCATGAAATATTTCAAAATATGTGAAATATTTCAGTATTTTAATATATTTTGTTTTATTTTTAAATAATTTTTATATTTACATATAACTGTCATAAATTACCTTCATCACTATATGGTACCTGTATGTATACCTAACCTTTGGTATTATACATTTAAATTGGTATTCAAAATGTTTAAATATTTTAATGTTTAAATGATACAAGTAGGTATACAATATTATACATGTATATTGTATACTTACTGAATTTTGATATTAGAATATAGAACACTGAATATTGTGTTAAAAAAATAAATAAATTGTGTTTTTATTTGTGTTAAAAAAATTTCAATGTTTCACGTTTTTGTGAAATATTTCACAACTAAGTGAAATATTTCATTTGAAATATTTCATGAAATATTTCTCATACTTCAAACACTACATATCATGTTACCCGTTTACAACATACCACCAGCTTTAAACTGGAGCAGTCCCTGCGACTTTATTTACTACTTTTACTGTTACAATTCCTTAAACTACGATTACAATTCCTTAGACTATGATTACAATTCCTTAGACTATGATTACAATTCCTTAAACTACGGGTACACCAGTTACAATACCGCCAAATGGTGTCTGTAATGCTTAAACTACTTCATTTACTTTATACTTAAGGTGATGCATTTTCTTTTTTTTTATATATAAACTTAAGGGTTGATTTGATCCTCATTTGAATTATTATCTGCTACTTCCGGACTATACATTTTTATAAATTTAGTTCTGAACTTAATTACCAATATACCTGTACTTAATACCTTAAAAATTATGCATATATATATGATTGCGATATGGAATTCTATCTTAAATATGAATAATTTTTCCACGGGTTTATGTTCGAGTACACTTGACTCTCCCGCTTCATGTACTAGGAAATTTAGGTCATTAAACAGTTTTACATTTGTGAGATTCTTAGGTAGAAAAGAATTATGAATTTCTGTCAACATAGATATAACATTAAATATACGATTAACTGGAATTATGTCTAAGCTTACTATTGGATTTACTATTTGTTATAAGAATTGAATTTCCCGTATGTATTTCACATGACGGCGATTCGGTCAACCTACCAACACCCGAAATCTCAACTCTAAACGTTTGTGGAGGGTCTGAACACTTAATCGTACTTAGGTCTGGTTGAGTAAAGTACAACCAAGCAATTATTTTTGTTAACCGATGCCAAACAGGTGCATTCAGTGTCACTTAATTGACTCTACAGTCTTTTAAGGGACTCTGCAAGTTGGATATACGTGATAAGACGCATAAGTTGGATCCCGCTTGGTATCTAATCGATTGATCACCCTTACTAAGAGTATAAAGTTCTAGCTTGTTGCATGATTCACATTATTTTATCTCCAACAAGAAAATTTTTTCATTGTCGTTACTTAAAGCTAGGTAGTCGACTTCAGGGGAAACTAAGGCTATGGTGTTACTATTGTATTGAATAGGTAGAGGGATAGGGTGGTACATGGTGTACTCATCTTCAGATATTAAGGGTATTCCTAATGAGAATACCAAATAGTGCTCCCTATGGTAAATGGTGAGGTCTGAAATTTGAATAAGTTGGTTAAGCATGACTTCAAATAATAATGCCTGTTTCAATAGCCTCGTCTTGAATTCTAGTTTATTGAGTGTCTGTATGAGTCCTTTCGTTTGGTTTTGAATATATTGAAGATTTTCCTCGAGTTTTTGCTGGTGTTGTAAAAGTTTCTTTGTTTGACGATCCGGCTCCACTTGCGTGATTCTTTTCCTTTCCGGAATAAAGGTGATGCTTTGTTTTCTGCTCTGTTTTAGTTCTAATATTTTATTAAATACAAATTCCAAGTCAATCTCCGAGTACATGACATATAGGACATTTGCCATCTTCTTAGCTACGTTAATTAACCCTCGTAGTACTCTCCCCTTTTCTATGCTATCCTCTCCCATAGTCAACTGCATGTTCCGGTTACTGGACTCAATTTCATACAGGTGAGGCAGTGTCGCTCTTCTAAATAGCTGCACAAATTGCTCACATGTATCCAATATTTCTACACTTCCGAATCGTTTCGTCATCCGATCACATACTTCTATTGTGGCCTCGTACTGTGATCTGATTACTGAATATTGAGAACCTGAAGTAGTAAGGTCGACGAATGCCACCAAATCCCAATTGATATGTGACAACTTCACTGCACCATATTGTTCAAAATATAACCCCTGATGGTCCAGCAGCGTCGTGATGTTGTAAGCGTTAGTGTCTGCATCTAATTGCAGTTTCGTTTTATAGTTTACTTGCCCTGTGATAAGCATACTGGATTAAATCAGAATCCTGGAAAGAGATTTAGTTATGTTAAAAGAATATTTCTCTTCCCTGCAGGAATTTATGTACAGCATCTTGTTTCTTACGTCTACGTTAGTATTTACAATTGTTAGCATAATCGTTTAGTTTTATTGAGTATATTTACAATGATCAGTCCACAAAAGTATGTATGAGATTTTTGTGTACCGTCACCCTCCTTCTATCCTTTTGTAACGTAACGTTTTCATTGGCCTTAATCTCGATCACCTCTTAAGGTCCCAACCATTTAGGACTAAGGTTCCCTTTTCGTGCGTTGTCTTTGAGTAGCACGCGATCTCCCACATGAACTATGATCTTATTCTGCCTTTAAACGTAGGTTTCCTTCGTCTTTCGTTTCTGTTCTAACAGACGATCCCTGGCTATTTGGTGTGCTACTTGGAGTTTTTGCTTCAATTCCGCACGGAAATCTTCGTAATTATACCGAGGTTCTAGAGGTTTTGTGAACTAGTTTGGCATTGTTATCGTGCAAGCATACAACAGTTCATAGGGCTGTTTTCCTGTGGAACGATATTCTTAGGAATTGAACACGAAAATAGCATATGGTATGAACGTAATCCAGTTCATTTGATCTGTTTCCACAAAATGTGGTAGGTATTCGATTAGGGGTTCCCCTAGGGTCCGATGACTCCTCTTCAGGGCTCCATTAGCCTGAGGATGGTATGGCGAGGTGTTGCATTTTTTTATTTTCAGCAACTTCCATGTTTCCGCTAAGATCCTGCTTAGAAACTCCGTGCCTTGGTCACTAACCAACATGCTTGGTATTCCATGGAGACATATACATGTGTCGTATACGCCACGCAAAGGCTTGACGTATATAACAGATATGTTTCCGTTTCCGATTCTCTAACCGTCGAACGAGTAAGTTATCGACACCGGCTGTATGAGTTTAATTTAAGTTCTCCTTTTGGTGACCACGATAACGAGTACTGCGCAATAGGATAATTAAATAAAAGTCCAGCAGGATTTACACTATACAACTCTAAGGTTATTTTACTCCCGAACAACTGACCACGATAACGAGTACTGGATGTTCGAGAGTGAGGTATCTTTTACCTAGACAAAGTCTTACTCTTTCTTGACTGACCACGATAACGAGTGCTGGACGAGAAAGTAAGTACCACAGTGTCTTACTACCTGTTTTTAAAAGTGTTATTCACCACAACGTCTCTGTATCAACTCGTAAGATAAAATATTCTAATAAAAAGGCGTAAAGAAAAACAGTGACACTTGGTTTTTAAAAAAAAGGAATTACATATTATAATAAAATATATCAAAAACAAATAATAAAAAGAAACGTAAAAATACTGCAGCTCGTTGGCTACTACAATAAGCGAAACAAACAAAACAACAGCCCCGCTCCCGTTGCTGCCGTCGCCTTAAGTAGTCGTGGCAATTTTGCTGACTCGGTTTGATTGACTTTCTGCTTCGTATGTTATTTTAATATTTTATAATTTCGTTATATATACAACAGTCCCATTACTTAAAATAAAATATGTCCTCATATTTTTTTATTTTTACACATAGGTATTTTGTAATGGGAATCTTTCATATATATATTACGTACCTATTTGTAGTTATACGACATTGTAATATCATTCTTTTTCTTTATTTTTTGTTCTCTTGTTATAAAATCCACCAGGTTTTCAAATTTCTTTCTTATTTCTTCCTCTATTGCTATTGTCTCTGCTGTTTTGTTTTTTTTTACTTGCTGTTGTGGTTCGTGTTTTCGAGTCCTAATGATTTTGCTTCTATTGTATGCTTCTTTACCTTGTTGGATTCTATTTATATTGAATTGGACATTTTTGATTTTTTTTTCTAGTCTCGCGATTTTTTCTTTTTTTTCCATCTGTAAAAATGGATTTGAAATTTATATTCTTTGATTCTCGTTTCTTGATATTATTTATTTTCATTAAGTTTTGAAATAGTTTTGATTTAATTTTGAACATTTTTATACTATATATTAGGTGGTACACAATTTTTTTACAAATGGTTGGTATAAATTTTACAATTTTATATGTACCCCAAAAAAAAAAAAAAAAATAATAATAATAATAATATGTTACATTTTTCTGCTTAGTTGAGTTATTTTACATTTGCTTTTTGTCTTAAAAATAGTTGTTGTTTTTTTGCTTAATTTTACATTATTATGTGTATCTTAAAATAAATGGTTAATTCTTCTGCTTAATTGTATTATTTTACATTTTTTTTTTTTGTTGACATTTGTCCTTAAGAATAATGGTTAGTTTTCTAGCTTAACTTAATTTTACATTTTATGTATAGGTACCTTAAAATAAATGGTTAATTTTCTTCTTACTTGTATTATTTTACATTTTTTTTTTTTTTTTTTAAGAATAATGGTTAGTTTTCTAACTTAATTCTATATTACCCCTTTTGTCTTAAAACTAGTCTCTTTTTTTATTTTATTTTTTTTTCTCTTCACCCCCAAAAGGAAAAATTATACATATTTATTTATTACCTTATGTTTAATTAATCTTAATATTTATTTTTAGGCTGATTCTGTGTTATCCTGGACTTGAAGTTGGTTGCTCTGAGCATTGTATACTACTTTCACAGTGTCTAATGGCTTATTTTTATTTTTTGTCTTGAGTGATTTTATTATTTTGAATAGGATAATTCCGGTTAATATTAGCGCTATCGTTGATATTCCTACAGAATGTACCGTTTTTATTTTATCATTTGATTTTGAGCTTAATTCATTTGTTATTTGTTCATCTAAGGTTGACATTGATTTTGCATATATTTTTAAATCATTAAACTTCACCGCTGTATTAAGGCTAATTTGGTTTTCGCCATCGGGTTGTTGTTGTCTTATTTTGTCATTGAAGTGTTCAGTTAATTTAGATAAGTGAAATTGTGGTACGTAGTCTTTAGAAAAATTGCTTTTTCCCAGATATTTAGCTAATATAATGTTGTTTTTAGTGAAAGCTTTACAATTCGGATTTAGACTTAATATTCCTGCTTTGTTTATTTCTATATTCTCTACTTCGTCCTGGCAGCTTACGATTAACTCAATGGGCTTGTGGGTTGCGTATATCCAACGATTACTATTTCCTAGTTGGTGCCATAAGTCACTAAATATTGGTACCGTTTTTATTTCGCAATTTTCTGGCATATTGTTTTCTTTTGTAAATAATTGAAATTCACAGCTTGATTTAATATGTTTTACATTTATTAATTTGATTTTGGGTAAAAAATATGTAAGACTGTTTATTTTTTACCGCTATAAATTCGTGGGTAGATTGAATAAAAACGAAATCCTTTTTATTTACATTGACTGGTAAACTTATAATATGGTAAAGATTAAAGGTATGTTTTCTATGAGTGATATATTTATTACAAATATTATTAGATGATTGATATAAAAAATATTTAAATCGATTAATTTCATAAAGTAAAAATAGCTTTTAGCGTTTATTTCTATAGGTAAATTTAGATTTGATGGTAAATTTGTTTTGATATCTTTAAGCTGTGTCAATAATTCATTTGGTTTAATTATTTGGGGATTAACCTGTCCTTTTTGTGCATTTGTTATTATGTTTAATAATAAGGTGGTATCTTTTGCGTATTGATTTAGTAATTCAGTATAGAGTGAGTTATATATGAATATTGATTCTACTATATTTAAGATTTTTAATTCGTCTTTTTGTATTTTTAATTCATTATTTAGTTTATTCATATTAATATCTATGGTGTCTTTAATTTTTGTGTAGCTTGAAGTAATTTCATCCACTGAATCTAATGAACTTTTGAATATTTTGATTTGTTCTTTTTGAATCATTAAGGTTTTTATTTGTTTTTCTTCTAGTGTTTTGATTTTGTCCTTGTTGTATTACTTTATAAGGAAAAAGTAATAAATGACAATAGTAATGACAAAATATATTATTATATTAACAAAATAAGTCTTAGTGATGTGACGTATAAAAAGTGACTGTATGCTGGTCTAGTCCTCGACACACACACACACACACCGAGGGCAGTGGTACCACAACATGCCCCTTTTTTTTAAAAAAGTACATAGTAACATTTCATGACAAAATACATAATTATTATAGATTATTATACATAAGAAATAATAACATTTTTTTTTTTTAAAATAACAAATATTAAGTTATACATCAGAAATTATTATTAACGTTTAGTTTAAGAATCTTTTTGGTTTAACAATATTTCTACCAAACCTATTTTTTGTCTCTGCCTGTAAATTGATTTCAATAGACTTTTCATTTTTATTTTTATTTTCAGATTTTAATGCAGATTTAATAATAAACTTTCTATTTCTTCTATAGATTTTACCATTATCTGCTTCAACTCTATAGGATCTAGGTTGAGCACAGACTTCAACTATTTTACCATTACTCCACGTACTGTTAGGTTTAATTTTAAATAATATTTTATCATTTTGCTTTAATTGGGACAATTGCTTGGTATTTTTATTATAATGGGACATTACTTTATCAGTTTTGGTGGAAATTTGTTTATTGTGATTTTCTACTTCCACTAATTTTGGTTTCAGACTAGACAATTTGATAGGAATCTTAGTTCTAAGATTCCTTGACATAAGTAGCTGTGCAGGAGAGCATAAACTATTGTTAGCAGTGTTACGATACTGCATTAATGCAATGTATGGGTCTGTACCTGTATCCGAGGACTTTTTAAGTAACTTTTTCACTATCTGTACACATCTTTCTGCTAATCCATTAGACTGTGGATAGTTTGGGCTAGAAGTGACAATATTTATACCCCAATCCGAACAAAACAATTTAAATTCAGCAGCATTAAAAGGTGGTCCATTATCCGATATTATCTCCATCGGTATACCAAATCGGGCAAAAATAGATTTTAATTGAGTAATAACTAATTTTGCATGTGAACCCTTGGACAAATGTGCTATTTCAATAAATTTTGAATAGTAATCGACTACCAATAAATAAGTTTTATCATTGTGGTGAAATAAATCTATACCTAGTTTTTGCCAAGGTAGGTCTGGTACAGCATGACTAATCATTGGTTCCTTAGCATTGTTGTTCCGATACTTAAGGCACACCTCACAACTTTCTACAATATTTTTAATGTCATTGCTTATACCTGGCCAGAATAATACATCTTTTATTTGATTTCTACAACGTTCAATGCCCATGTGACCTTCATGAATAAGTTTTAACATGTCAGACCTAAGTTTAGTAGGGACCACTAGACAATTACCCTTAAAGACTAAGTCATCAATAACATGAATTTCATCTCTGAAAGTCCAAAAAGGTTTGAGAGAATTTTCAAGAAGAGACTTATTTAAAGGCCATCCTGACTTGCAGATATTTTTAATTTTCTGAAATATTGAATCATTTAAAGTCTCATTTTTTATTTTGTCAAGATATTGTTTCCCTATGGCTAGATTTTCAGAAAATACCTGAACTTGCAAGATTAATTCTTCATCTATATTGTCCTCATCTGAGTCAGGAAGTGGGGCCCTTGACAATGTATCAGCTAATACCATGAGTTTACCAGGGACATATTCAACATTAAGATGATAAGACTGAATATTTAACATCATACGCTGTAATCTAGTAGGGACTGAATGTAAAGCCTTTTTGAACAGTGAAACTAAAGGCTTATGGTCTGTTTGAACTTTGACAACCTGACCGTATAAGTATTGGTGAAACCTTTTACAACCAAAAACAATTGCATACAATTCTTTTTCTATTTGAGCATAGTTTTGTTGTGCAGAAGTGAGGGTT